CTCCGTCCTTATCCCTAGGGTTGGAAATGGGGGAGGGGAGGAGAATTAAGTGAGAGGCGATGGAGGGTGGGTGGACAATAACTAAACCACAAAAAATAACAACAACAACACTCCCTCACACATATCACAAAAGGGGCTCCGGGGTTGATTGGAACTCCCCCTGTCCTGGAAAATACAGCCAGGATCTCCCTTCCCCAGTGTCCAGAGAGGAACTGCTGGCCTAGCCTTAGCGGTCCTGGAAGCCAAACTCCAAGCTCTGTAGCTGGGACTGGAATAAGGGTACCCCGACTTGCCTCTTCTCACTTCCCACGGCAAGAGTCCCTCTGCTCTTGCCTGCAGCCTTCAAGGCCATGACCGACCCTAGCCCCTAAGCCCAAGGGGCCTTGGGCCTAAAGCCTGGGCCAAGCCAAAGAAACAGGCCTCAGGAAAGGGAGGAAGAATCAAAGTGGCTCGGGGAGGGCTGAGGCATTACACCTGGCCGCAGGTAAACGCAGAATCGATTAAGACTCGGGCCAAGCGGAGCCTCCTCAGGTGAAACCTCCTAGGGCGAAATTTAGGAGAGGCTGGTTCACCTGGGAGAAGGCGAACGACTGCCCTTCGCTGGAGGATTTCGTCCACCTAGAGCTCCCTGTGCCCCCTGCCCAGACCCGGAGCCCCAGGGTGAGGGCACAGACCCAACCCGGGCCTCACCATTGCTGTAGAGAAGCTGAAGCCGGTAGTGAATTCCGTTATTGGTCTTTTCGCTGTTGGCTTCCTGGGTTGCATCGGGACGCAAAGACACAAGAGATGCAGGAGAGAGGTCTGCGTGAGCGAGTGGACCAACTTTCCAGGCAACTTTCCCCAAGTCGGGACCCCCGCTGGCCAGCCAGCCAGCTCCAGTAGCAGCAGAAATTGCGGCCAACTGTGATCCCTCCTCCGACCCCCGTTCCTGACTGCTCCCTCTCTCCCAGCAGAAAATTCCGTGGGGCGCACATAGGCGAACCTCTTCCCAGGACCTGGGGGCTAGTGCCCGGGCCGCCAGAGGCAGGCAGTGCGCGGTCTGGTAGTGGAGGGCGGGTTCATCCCGGGTGCCCATGGCTGTGGATTGAGCGCCTCTCTCCAGCTCTGGGGACTCCGTGCGAACTTTTTTGGAACAGGAGCCAGTGGACCGGGACCATGGGTTCGTCCGGGATGGGAAGTGACTTGGGGGACCCCCGCACAGAAGTGTGTTATGGATGCTTTACACTCAAGGAAGGGCGCGCCGCCCAAGGCTCCTGGGCCTGCTCCGGAGCCGAGCCAGGGACGAGGGGCGACAGCGCTGCGCCCACTTACTTTTTCCTTCTCCACGAACCCCACAAACGCTGTCCTCTCGATCTCCACGGGCTGGCCCTGTCTGTCGTAGAGGGCCAGGACGAAGTGGAAGAAGTTGGATTTCCGCAGATTGGAAGGCGGCTGCTTCTCAAAGTGAGCCCGGGCCAGCCCCACCCCGCTGCGGCCAAAGACGCAGAGTTAGATGGCTAAACCGGACGCTGACCCGCGCCCCTTGTCACCCTGTACACACGCTAGAACCCTCAAACACCCACCTCCTGTTCCCCTAAAACATCGAGTGGGCACTCTTCACGCCCCTTCAGGCGACACGGACCCAGCCGACGACGGGACACACATGTCCCCTTGTGTCCTCGTCCTCTCTGCCAAGGACGGATGCGTCCTCAGAACTCGCTGAAGAGGTGTGAAAGTTTTGTTTGGGTTTTGCGCGCGAGGTGAAACGTATAAGCATTTACTCCTACCTGACGCGCGCTGCGTGGGGAGGAAGAAAGGTGGCGGTGGATGAAGTGAACCCACCTTCGTGGAATAGAACCTGCAGTTCATAACTTTGCTCCCGACACCCCTTAAATCTCACATCTCAGCTACTAGGGCAGGTGGGAATGGATGGAAAACACGCTCGGCGTGTCGCCGCAGCAGCCACCCTCCAGGAACCCCGTGCGCTCCTGCCAACTACGCGTGCCTGGCCTTGGGAAGCCACATCCCCCACCACCACCACCAAAAAGCATGTGGAGAAGGGTCCGAGGGCGGGGCTCAGAACTGTCGCGGGTGGTCGCTGTGAAAAAGGGAACAGGGGTGTTTTCTTAAAGACCTGTCCTAACAAAGTTTCGCTATTCCGCATAAATCGTCGCATTCATTCCAGAAATCCTAAAGGCCAGGGCTGCTGGCTCAATTCGTCGGCCGGAGACGGGAGGCTGGAGCGCCTGGGGCGCCAGGCGGCCACTGACAGCCGGACCTGCCCAACGCAAGCGCGCATAGGCACACACATACACATACATGAACACACACGAGCGCCCCGCTCACACACTTTCACTTCCAGCCCAGTTACCCAATTCACTCTCACTATCAACCACCCCCATCCTAATACTTAGTTGGGATGGGAACAGTGTTGGGGACGCTTGTCCCCAGCCCAGGGAAGCTGGAGATGATGTAATTAGTCATCTTCCTTCTTCCCCTTCCGCACTCTGCGTCCGATGGTGCCTGGGACCACCAGGTCGCCCACTGTCCCAAGCTTAGTTGGTGGCTTAAGTGGGGGGAAAAGGCCAGTTCTCACTTGGGACCAGGAGCCTGGGAAAGGGCCTTGGGTGTGCCCAGGAAAGTTCCCTCAGGTCAACCTCCAAGGGCAATGCCTCCAGGCCACACAGTCTAGTGTCTAGGGAGCTGCGAGTGGGAGAGCGGCTGGAAAGGGACAGGGTGACATCGGGACAGGAGGTGGAGAAGACTTTTAGGAGATGTCAGAATTAAAGTTGGGAGTTGCTATTCTACCGGTAGACTGAGAAAAACTGAAAGACAGAGAGGGAGGGAAGGAGAACCAGATAGCAGAAATAAGAGAAGACTCAGGGGAGAAATGGGACGAGAAAAAACAGGAGAGACAGAGAGGTAAGGAAAAGAGAAAGAGAAGAAAGAGGAGCTGAAGGAGAAAAGAAAGAAGGGAAGGAGAAAGGAAGGGAGGAAGAGAGTGAGGAAGGAATTAAGGGAAGGTGGGGAAAGAAAGGAGAGGAGAAAATGAAAGAAGAGAAGAAATAAAAGGCAGGAAGAGAGACAGGAAAGAAAGGAGAACTAAAGAAATGGAAGGAGGGAAGAGGGGAAGAAAGGAAGAGGAAGGAGAAGAGAAGAAAATAAAGACAGGAAGAAAGAAAAAAGCCAGGAAGAGAAAGGGAAAAGAAAAAGGAAAAGGGAAAGGAACGAGAAAGAAAGAGAAGAGGAAAGAAGGAAAGAAAAAGAAGAAAGAAAAGAGAAAAGAAAAAGAAAGAGGGAAAAAGAGAAGGGGAAGGAGAAAAGACAGCGGGCAGGAAAATAAAGAGCAATCACAAAAAAAAAAAAAAAAAAAAAAAAAAAAACACACACAGATATCCAACATGCTGTGTTGAGACGCCTCTTCTGTGTTAAAACAAAATGAAAACAGTCACAGACGAGGCAGGGGAAAGTGCTGGCAAAGCGTGGGCTCCTCGCAGACAGCTCCGGGTCCTCCGGCCGCAGGCGACGAAGGCAGAGCGGCCGGGGAACGCGGAGCCCCGGCGGAGAGCAGAGCGCAGCGGCGGACGCACCCCGCGGCCCGGCCCCGCGGCAGCAGCCGCCGCCGCCGCCGCCGCCTCCCGGTTCTCCCGCCCGCGGCTCACCTCGGCCGCGGTCCCCGCGCGGTACCCACCTCTGCGCCGCCGTGTTGGCGTCCAGCACCCCGGCGCCCTGCATCCACGTCCGCACCGCGTTCATGCCGCTGCCCAGCGGCTCTTCCTTCATGCTGCTTCCACTCCGTTGGATGCTTTCCTGAATCCCAAACATGAAAACAACCTTTTCTTGTGGAAAATCTCCTCCCCCTTGAAAAATTTAAAAAAAGAAAAAAAGAAAAGAAAAGAAAGGAAAACGCCAACCAGAGATTTTTTCTCTCTCTCTCAGACGATGAACTCGTGCTTAGAAGATCAAGGCGGGCTGGAAAGCAAATTTTTAAAAAAATGTAAACCTCTGCTCAAAAGTGAGCAATAACCCGAAAAAAAGAAGAAAGGGAAAATCCAACGAAAAGACCAAAATAATAAAATTAGAGATGTATGCTTGGCTGTTGGGGGTTGTTTGGTTGGTTGATTTTTGGTTTGGGTGCTTTTTTTTTTTTTTTGCGTTTTTTTTTTTTTTTTTTTTTTTTTTTTTTTTTGTAATGATCACAGGCCGGTGGAGGACAGGAGGGGCTGGAGTTTCCTTTTGTAGAGGTACCCTTCACTTGAAGAAGCAGGAAGAAAAAAAAAAGAAAAAAAAAAAAACCCTGATGGCAATTTAAGAAACAATAGACTCAACTCGCGCTGCCGGCTTTGCTACTTCAAGTGTCATTTTCCACAACCAGGCAAGTTTTTTCCTCTCTTTCTTTTTTTTTCCTCCTTCTCTCCCAACCAAAGATGTTTCTTTCCTTTGCGTATAGATGAGGAGGACGCTGGTTGCCGTAGACAGATACACCAGAGGGTGGGGGGAAGGGGAGAGAGGGAAAGAGGAAAGGGGGGGAGGGAAAGAAAGATAGAGAGAGAGAGGAGAGGGAGAAAGAGAGAGGGGTGGACCCTGCTGGATGGAGATTCTGTTTTCTCCCTGCTAAAATAGAAGTGATTTGCAGGCTTTCCCTATGGAATCCAGTTTGACTCTCCCCAGAGCTAAACACAGGCACACTAACCCCAAAGGGAGGAGGCGGGGCTCTCGCCTCTATGCCCCGCCCCTTCATTTGCATAACGTCATCTTTCCGCCCCGCCGCAGCCAATCGCCGTCCGGGAGCCGGCTCGCTGGCGGCGCCAGGCCGCGCTCTCTCATTAGCATCCCGTTGTCGGTGGCGCAGGGGAGCCGGCCAAAGTTCCTCGCAAAGTGGCGGGCGAGGGAGCGCTGAGCACCGGCGTCTGGGCTGGGGAGGAGCGGGTCCGAGCGAGGACGGAGAGGGGGCCGAGGGAAGGGAGGCGGGTGTCTTTCCCAGGAATTTGAGCTGGGGTCTGCATCCCGGCCTGGCAGTCCTTTAGCATCCTCGCCGCGCCCTGAGCGCGCTGGAGGCTCGCGGGCTGCGCCCTCCCAGGGCTGATGCCGCGTCCTGCTCCGCTGTTCTGGGACGTCGGGGACAAAAGTGGAGGAGACGGGAGAGCCCGGGCAGAAAAAGCAGGACGCGCGTCCCAGGTGCCCACCTCTTCGCTTTGAGGCGGGGGCGGTGGGATGGAATAGGGGTGCGCGAGTGTGGGGCTGGGAGCTCGCGGAGGGGCACGGCCCCCACGCTGGTGTGGGTGGGGGGGTGAATGGATGCTGGGTCCCGGTAAATGAGGCGTCGTGGGTCCCCAGGAAGTGGAGGGACCAGGCTCTGCTCCCACTCCGGCCTCCGAAACGCTTCTCTCTCGGCCCGCTAGCCTAGAAGCTGCCAGGGTTGGGCACTGTTCTCACACGCTCACTTCTCTCGGGCAGCCCTCTAGATATGTGAATGGTGGAATGGAAGCTCTCACTGGGGCTGTGTCCGGATGCCTTTTAAGATTTTCTCAAGTTCAATCCCAACCCCTCATTCCCCACCCCAAGTAGTTTGTTTGTTTGTTTGTTTGTTTGTTTGTTTGTTTTTAGAGTGACTACCGAAGCAACAGCAATGTCTACGTCCTGGATTAGCTGGTTATTTGGTGCAGGGCTTTTCCTCATCCTTTATTCTTCCTGTTAAAAAGAAGGGCTTGAACAAATCCTTCCTAACTCTGTCTCTGCCGTGTGAAAAGGGTTGGGGAGAAAAGAAGGAGGGTGGGAAGGAAAGAAGAAAAGGAAAAGGAAGGAAAGGAAGAAGGGGAAGAGAAAATGGGAAGAAAGGAGGGAGAGAGAAGGAAGGAGAGAGGGAGAAGGAATGAATGGAAAGGGGAAAGATGGAAGGAAAAAAGGAAAGAAAAAAGGTTGAAATTGTCTCCTTCCTCAGGCCTTTCAGCATATGTTTGTGGCCGGCAAAGGAAATAGCTAGAAGTTTCTGAGTAATGTGGCCCATCATTTTTTAGCAGGTTGTAACCTCTAATAAGCACATGGTGAACTTCTGTTTCATTGCCCTCAGAGGAACTCCCTGACTGCAGCCAAATCTGCTAAGGACTCCTTCGGGGAAATTCTCTGCCAGAAATCCAGGTCCCATTTCTGCTGGCCTTCCTTGGCCCTTTGATTTAGGAAGCTCATGGAGTCAGTGATGGAAAAGTACACATGCCCATGTTGAATAGAGACAGGCAAGAGTTATGCTTTGTGCTCTTGGCAGAGCGGTGGAGCCACTTCCTGATTCCTAAACTGGATGAAAGAGTGTAGTCCTGGCCTGCAGGGCCTGGCCACTGTCCTCAAACACTGCTTTATCTCCTGTGCACGAGGCCTGCCCAGCTCTCACACAATGTAATCTAGACCTCTTGTGTGCTGAGCACTTTCTCCCTGGTACCATAATTAATGCCATCTCCTCCAGGACATCCCTGAAGAGATTAGTCTGATCTATGAGGATCCCCATAGCACTTATAAGGGTTCCTAGCATAATGTTCATGTTGACAAGGAGTATAATGGTGGAGAGACTTGAAGGGTTGTAGGTTTATGGGGACAGGGAAGGGGATGTGAACCTTTTCAATCTCTATGGTATTTAAATGCACAATTGAAACTGGGCCTACTAAAAACTTTCTAAAGCTCCAAACTTAACCTGATGCTCCAGGTCCAAAGGGGTCCCCAGAGTCAATTCCTCCCCCTGCCTGGGCCATATTCTTCAGCTCAGAGAGGATGCTTGAAGGTAGGGAGATCAGGAAGCAAAGGCCACCCATTCTATCAATGGGTCCCATATAGCCCTGGCAAAAGACCCAGCCCTCCATCTCTTTAACTGCCTGAACCTCCATTTTTCTCTCCAGTAAACAGTCTCCCAGCTGAGTCTGGTGGGGTGTCTCCAGTGGTGAGGGAACACCCCCAATAAGGGAACAGATCACCAAAGGAAGGTGACAAAAGTGCCAGGGAAAAGAGAGGCATAGACACCCTCAGATCCAGGATCAGCAAGAGACACACAGCCGATGGATATCTGGGGTCAAGCAGAATCTAGAAGCATCTGCAAAGGATGCGTTTGTTGAGGGCCTGAGGCTGACTGACCCAAATGAGAAAGTGTCACAAAGCAAGAAGTCTTGAGCAGCTCAATTTCTACCCCAGAGCCAGTCTCTCCAGGAACTAAATATGAGGGAGGCAATTTCCACCCCTGCCAGGCTGAAGAAGGAAGAAAAATAAAGAGAGCAGGAATCTTTTGATAAGACTAATTCCCTTTGGCTGTGCAGAGGCAGCATATACCTCACCTGGGATGGTGAGTGTGCTTTATTTTAATCAAGCAGAGTGTATTCATAGCTTTTCTTCTGGGTGCCCTTGCGCTTTCAACCTGGCTTTCTCATCCTGTAATAAATGTTTAAGTAGGAAGGAGGCTAAAGAGAAGGTGGAAGAGAGGCAGAGATGGACAGAAATGACACTCAGGCCAGCAGAGCAGTAGTTTTGTTTGTTTGTTTGTTTGTTTGTGGTTTTTCTCTGGTGAATACTGAACCAGCAATTGCAGTTTTAAACTTGAAAAAGAACCTCTTAAATACTTCATGTGAGGATAGCACCACCTCCAGAGGTGATCGTCATCCTTTTTATAGTAAGGGTATCCTGTAAAGAGATATTCTTGTATGTACAGCACTGCCTAGGCTTTATAACACATAAACTACTTTAGGGTAGTTTATAATAGTAATCCCCAAACTGGGTTCATCAGACTAATCACATGGGGAAGGGTGTGGGCACTTGTTAGAAATGCAGATTTCCAGGTCTTGTGCCGACCCATACAATCAGAACCTCTGGTTTTGGTGCCTGGGATCTGTATTTAAAGATATTGGAAACTCCTGATTTTTCAATATATATAGTCTCAGAAAAGGAAGGGAGGGAAGCAGTGAGGAAAAAAGACTTTTGCATGGGGGAAAAATAGAGCAGAATTAGTTTATACCTGGAAAGAATAACTAAAGAGGTTTGGAGTTTCCCCTGGAGCTTAGTTTCCCTGCTGAGCTCCTTAAAATCTCTGCAGCAGGGAGAGTTCAGGATCCACAGCTCCTCAGCGGCTCCCAGCAGTAGGCAGGGCTACCCAGCTCTCGGGATCTCTTGACCTGGGCCTGGAGGAAACCCAGGGCAATAAGCGAGCCCTCCCTACTCACCCACTCCCAGCCTGACCTCTGCTCCTTGGCTATCCCAACCCTCTTGAGGCATAAGGAAATCAATTCCCCTTCCTGAAAACAACATCTACTGGTAATTTCTGGGGGCTCCGGTAGAAACACACCGGTCTCCAGAGAAGAGACTAGATAAATACAGCCAAACTAGGACCCGTGGGACGGTCCCAGCGAAAGAGGGAATCGTCTCTACTCGTCCGCCCCCAGGAGGCCAGACTTGGGACCTGTCACTTGGAAAATTCTGATCTCCGTTCCCCTTGTGAGGGCGCGCCCCCAGAAGGGCAAACCGTCCCGGGGAATGCCCTCTTCCTTCCCCATTTGCCAGGGACAGCTTCGAACGAGGCGGGAGGACAGATGCCTAATTTTGTTGGGAAGGGAAAGGGGAAAAGAAAAATGGAACGACCTAAGCCAAAGGCGCAATGTCCCTCAGATTGCGGCCGCCCCAAAGGAGTCCACCGCCAGCCTGGAGTCGGGGTGGGGGTGACGAGGAACAGGGGCCAGGGCGCTGCCCGATGGAGGAGATTGGGAGGGGGTGGCGGTCCGGGGCCCTGGAAAAGCCGGGACCTGCGCGGAGATGCGGCTCTGCGGGGCCCCTGAACGGCACCCCGATGATGGCGGGAGTGGCGGAGCACGGTGACCCAGCCGGCCAGCCTTCAAAACCCTGGCTCTTTTCCTCGGTGATCTCCACGCGCCGTCCTCGGGGAACACGTGGGAGCAGCAGGCCAGGGGTCCACTGGAAATCCAAAATCTGATTTCTGTTTCCGACTCCCTGCGCTCCAGAGAAGGCATCCTTTGCTGGCCCAGTGTGACTGACACTTCCAGGCACCTCACCATGGTACAAACAGGGAAACTGAGGCCTAGAGAAGGACAAAGACACTCACAAACGACTAGGAGATAGAGACCAAGCGAACAACGCCGCGGGGCTCTGTCCCCGGCAAGGGAGCGCCTAGTCTGATTAGGGCCAGAAGCCTGGGGCAAGGGGTTCCTACAGCTCTTTCCGGGGCGAGCCTGCCGACTCTCTCGGGTTTCCCCTTGGGCGGCCCCAGATAATAATAGATCCCGTTTGGGCAGGAACTCACTGAATAGCCGCCACAGACAACGGCAGATAAGACCACTCCCGTTTTACAGGTGAGGAAACAGAGGCCCTATTAGCGAAAGTGAAAAACTTGTCCACGGTCAACAGCTAATAAAGTCGCCAAGCCAGAATATCGCCAGAGCCTGCGTCCTTAAATATAGAGCCAAACCGTCCACCCAGCTGTGCCGCGAATCTCGTGCCCCCAAACGCTCAAGTGTCTCTTGGCTCTGGAGCCCTGGGCCGGGGTTCCGCATCCTGGAGGGGAAAGGAGCGAGCGCGCGGTGCCTCCCGAGGGCAGAGTGCAGAGGAGAGAGAGGAAAGGGGAAGATTATGAAACGTCCTAACTAATGCGCGTACTGAATGCGCATTCACGTGGTCAGATACCCACTTGCTTCTCTCTCTCCAGACCCGTGGGGACAGAGCGCGCCGCGGACGTGCCAGCTCCGGCCCTAGCTCTGCCACATTTACTATGTGAGCTCCTGTCAGTCACTTCTCCCAGTCCTAGCTGAGATCTTAGAGCTCACGCAAGCTCGCATATTGGAACAGACTAAATATCTAACTTTGCGGGCTGTACCTGATGTCCATCCAAGGGCAGAAATCTGGACACTTGGGGATATGCTTTAATGGGGGAGAAGCTGATTCCGCCCTGGCATGACCATAGATCGCTAAAAGCTGAAGTCATTCTGAGTCGAGAGAATACAGCTGGGGGCACTGCCGGAAAGGAGCTCTAAGTCTGAGGATGTCCCAGGGCGCGACCATATCCCACCCCGTGACCCTTGCCCACAGTCCCCTAGCCCACGAGATTGGAGTCCGATCTGGGAAGGGCCCTGATCCTTCGGTAGAAAGAGGCCTTCGGTGGAGGAAGGGAACTTCCCAGCGATTTGAAAATTATCATCCCT